CACAATTGTAAACGAACTACTTACATGTCCGAAACAAAATAACTGATTACAATAAAATTCATTACAATAAAATTCAGCTTATTTACTTATTTTGTAACCAATAAATTATATAAACTACCAATTTGTCATCATGTTGGTGCCGATTAGATGTGTTGTATAGAGTGTAACAGTAGCTTTATTATCCTCTAGAAGATAAGTACATGCTACTTCTAATAGTACTAATGGCCATTCCGGGAATGTCCGATGAGCGTTTAAATTGGTATTTGTTACTTTCAACTGAAATTATCGATTTAAAAGACCTATCTCTATTAGCAGAATGTTGACGATTTTTGAGTTTTCAAAAGTTATTCATAATCTTTTTCGCTTCATAATGCATACTTTTTTTCTTTTGTTTACCATCTCCACTTACTGAAAAGCCAAGGCCAGGAAAAATGTCCTTCTTGCTCAGTTCACTACCATCCGTACTAACAACAACGTCCAGTTCTGTTTTCTTTCGCGATTGCTGCTGTCATCCACTACGAAGGAGAGTGCGATATCACATGTCACGCTGTTTACATTGGTAGCAAGTTGCTTGTTGATATGGTTTTTGACGAATTAAGCAAGACGAACCAAGCCATAGTTTGCTTGCATTTCTCGTCAAAAATGCGTCTATGATATGAATGTTCAGCCTTAAATGTCTCTTGATTTTTCTGATTTCTTCGTATTTAATCTGCCTATTGCTTGTCTCCTTGGCTCTCCTTTAAACTTTTCAGGTTTCTAAAGCTAATCCGCAAAGAAAATTCCATGGTTTTAGAAAGGTACATGTTCTCTCACTGGGAGGGGAAATTCCACATGAAAAAGGAGAAAGTTCGACACTTTCTCGAGAACATTCTCCAACTAACGCAGGATTAATCTGGCATAATAAAATTTATGTACGTATGTATTTAAAGTCACCTCCGCAGACTTTTTTCTATAACAACTCTTTTTCTTTTTAATATAAATCCAGATATGTATTTTTTATTTTCTTCCAGATGAACAGCGTCCTTATCCTTCTGGTTGTCGTCGGCCTCTCCTGCGTCATGGTAGCGCATGCCTCGCCCACCATAGGTCTGATGACCGGATTCGGCGCCCTTAGTGCATCCCGCTACCAACCCAAGCGGCGCTACCACGGGCCTGGATATGGGCGATACCACGGCCATGGCTACAAGGCCCCTCGCAGAAGGTACCGGCCGCGCTTCGGCCGCTCTGCCGAAGCGCTCTCTGACGAGGAAAGCCTGATCCTATCCACTGTGGCACACCTGGATCCCGAAGGCTGCATTCCCAAGACGCTGTGCCTCCTGGAGGCGAAGGACGAGTCGGATCGCTCGCAAGACGAGACCCAGCTGCTGGAGATCTTCGCCAACAAAAACAAAACTCAGGACCACACCTCCTACAGTGCCACCCTCGTCCTCGCCACACAAATCGGCGCCAACACGAGGGACTCGGCCGCCTGCAAGAAGCTCTTCGCCAAATGTTCGCTCGACGAGGAAGAGCTTACCGAAGTCCTGCATCTGGCGTGGGGCTGCGACTGCGACCAGAGGCAGGACTCACGTTTGCTCTAGGGTGCACGGCAAGACACGCACTTAGCTTATATTAAGCTGAATATATGGTAATATTTATATATCCAGTTTTATATGATGAACGCTTGGGAATGTTGTATTGTGCTTCATTCTTGGTAAAACCCTTAATTTGGATGGTCTAGTTCATAATCTTCACATACTGTCTGAATATTTACGGTCAGTCTCAATAAAATATTTATTCTGCTCTTTGTGTTTTTTTCTCTCTTATGAAAAAAAGGTTTTCTCCCTTTCATTTTTTTCTAATGTATGTTTTTTTTTTAGCATTTACTGATTCATATATATTTTTATTTCTGTTTAGAATTATGAACATACATTTATTATATCAATGTTTCATATACTAACTACTACTAACTGCAACAAACGAAGTTTCCCTAAAACTTGAAATATAAACGAATTCAACAAGAGGTAAAAGTAAACCAAAAGAAAAACAATGTTAAAAACAAAAAGTAAAACGATAAAAAACGTATTAAATGAAAACCCAAACAAGATTCGCTAAATAGTTCAGGCATGGATTCGAACAAGGTGTCAAACGGTTCACAATTCAGTCAGTTTGTTTGGGTGAGAGAGAACACGGTTTTCGCATACAACTCTCGACTTCCTTCGCACACACAATAAAATTGCCATGGAAATGTGTTACTTAACGATAAATAGGTACACTGTTTGAACTTCCTATAGTAAAATAACTTCTAGCTATTTTTTCCCCGGAAGAAACTGAGCTTTAGAACATAAATAATAAAAGAAGCTAAACAATATGTCCTATGAGCAGGACTGCTTTGTTTAGTTCTAATACTAAAACAGTTCTTTTTTGGCAATAAGAATCATGTGGTTAATTATTAAGTACTAATTAGTCACCCCACAATATCGTTCGCTGTCCTTCCATTACGCAACACATACCCACATTCCTTCTCCCTATCTTCCTCTTATGTCTTCGTTTTTTGTGTTCTTTATGAAGTGTAATATTCACGGCATGTATGATCTGTTATTATTGCATAATAAGTTGCGTGTTTGCAAACTAATGTATGCCCTCCTCCACTCCTCATATTTTGATTATGCATGCACATATTCATACCTCTTTATCTACACACACACATTTCCATATCCGTGATTATTATTCCCAGAATCTTGACGACTATAAACATTCCCGATAGCCTGATCGTCTCTTAAGGCAGACGTGCTTCAGTTCCAAAAACACCCTCTCTCAGAATGCTTTACAGTATTTCTCTTTTCCTAGAACTGCATTTCAATTCACCCTAAGGACATGGACATCTCCTACTTTCGAAGTTTTGGCCGATGCGTCATTATTTGTGTGGCGAGGGTTGTCTTTTTTATTCCCATTGTTACGTGTTAATTCATTTCTTATCATCTAAGATGCACTATTTAAGATCTGCATTTTGATAATTGCTCATTTAGACTTCCCTTTCTTGTTTTCTGCTCCTCTCCCTCTCTCTCTTCTCATCATTCTTACCTTTGGCATTGTTCTGTAAACGCAGTTAAATTATTGTATGCTCTTTAATATGCGTTTCCTCTCGCACACCTTGTGTTAAATGCTGCTTGTCCATTGGCGACGGGTCGGAAATGCTCGCCAGAATATTAGCATTACAAAGTCAGCGATAACATGCGATAATGGTTTTATGTAGTCATGCATCTAGTTGGTCGTATCTGCAGCAGTAACTTTGGTCTGTTTTCTAATATGGACTTAAGAAAAACAAAGAAATAAAGATAGTAGGTGAAGCCAAAGGCTTTGGCTAAATGTTGTGGAAGCGACAAAGAGACATAAGATTTTAGTAAGGTTCTAATGTTCTAATCTATTGTGCCTCATGATACTACCTCACTGCATTTGTTATTTTCCATATATGGAGGATGACACTTCAATATTGTATACCTGATTAGCTTTGCCTTTTTACGTGTATACAGTATATTTGCTGGTATTTCCCGATGGATTTTTAAAGTTAATATGTGCTCTTGTCAGTCAGATTACTCACTCACAAATGATCGCACCAAATTAGAAAGACTTTGCAGTACTTGTTATTAAATAGGCTTTATTAAGTTGTATGTACAAGTACGAACGAGCGCGTGTTAAAGTAAACATCATGGGAGTTGAATAGAATGACGCTACTGTTAGGGCAAAGGAGGGAGTTACTTCTCCATTAATCTATAGATTATTTTTTTTATCCATATACGTATTATTTCTTTTCGTTTACCTACCTATTTCTCGCTCTCTCTCTCTCACTTTCTGACTCTCTTTTTGAGACTCGCTGTACTCAACTGTTTCATAGTGTTATTGGCAACACTAATGGTAACAAGACAAACTGATGATTTCTGAATTAATTATTAACCCTAACGCGAGGGGCACAAGACAAAGTTTTATTTCTTGAATGTTAACTATGCGTTACTAAAATCATGCCTAAAACAACGATGAATAATCTAATAAATCAAGTTTTATTTTTATTATACTGTCTAATTTTCCCCTGAAATGATAACAAGGGAAAACAAAATACAAAAAAGAAAAAAAAAAAAAATCAATAACTGAATGAAGCAATTAGACTTGCATAGTAGTCCAGATAGGGATTCCACACAGGTACCGAATAGTTTATATTGCAAAGGGAGTCTGTATTCGAGGGAGGATGCTGTTCTTGCATGCATCTCTAGACTTCCTTCGCAGATACAGACGCTTTCTCATGCAAAACCGTTACTTGACAATAACCTGCTCCACTAAATACAATGCCTAACACTTAGTAAAGAGAAACTTGACAGATAATTCTTCAGTTCGGTCTCTCTCTCAAACACACACACACACACACACACACAAGTGTTTGTGTGTGTGCTTCCGAATTTCATCACGGAGTGCCACTGATCTTGCCCTTGGCTTCCTTGTGTCAGCCATTCTCCAATCTGTTAGCTTCTTTGTCCACCTGTCGTCCTGCCTCTTAAGTACATGACTTGCCCACCACCAATCCGCCCAAGTATGTCTTTCACTCTGGTCAGTTCCCTAATCCCTGCTGCCCAATTCTTATTTCTCATCGTAAGCATTTACATTTCATTACAAACACACACACTTACACTGTATAAATGCATATATATATATATATATATATATATATATATATATATATATATATATATATATATGTATATATATGTATATATGTATACATGTGTGGAATTCATGTTGAACAAATTGCAAGTAGAACAATGAAGGGAAGTACAGGAAAACATACGAATATGCCGAAGGCCTTCGGCAAATTCGTGTGTTTTCCTGTACTTCCCTTCATTGTTCAACTTGCAATATGCATACATATAATATACACACATGCGCACACACACGCCCACACAACATTTTATATATATATATATATATATATATATATATATATATATATATATATATATAAATGAAGATAT